TGCGATGTTTATGTCTTGTACGACCATCGCCAGACTCCATTCAGCTCCTGATTGATGAACTACGAGAGCCGAAGTACGGAGAGTATCATCTGTATTTCACCAACGTCGTCAAGAAGTCATCACTAGAAAGACTTGCCGAGGCTGACGACCATGAGGTTGTCAAGCTGGTTCAGGAGCAGTTTGCCGACTTCATCGTCATCAACCCCGATTTGTTTTCACTTGGACTCAGCCTTCCCCATCAGCGTCTGTGGGGCAGCAACCCAGACACGTGGAACCCAGACGCTCTGCAACGAAGTGCTGACGGACTTATTGCTGTACTTCTTGCACTCAAAAAGAAGCCGCTCATCAGGTACTCCAAGACCAGCCCACTCACCAAGAAATTGGCTACAGAAGTGCGATATCGTATTACACAAGAGGAGCAACTTTTCGACTTCCGGAAAGTGGACACGCCTCCTCTCCTGCTCGTGCTCGACCGGCGCGAGGATCCAGCAACGCCACTTCTCACACAGTGGACATATCAAGCCATGGTGCACCATCTTCTCGGCATTACCAACGGCCGAGTTGACCTGAGCGATGTACCTGATATTCGCCCGGAGCTAAAGGAGATTGTCTTATCGCAAGACCAAGATCCTTTCTTCAAGAAGAACATGTATCTCAACTTCGGTGACCTGGGCGGCAACATTAAAGACTACGTGGAGCAATACCAATCCAAAACACAAAACAGCTCAAACATCGAGTCGATATCGGACATGAAGCGCTTCATCGAGGAGTACCCCGAGTTCCGCAAGCTATCCGGAAATGTTAGCAAGCACGTCACCTTGGTCTCAGAGTTGAGTAGGCGTGTTGGTGCCGAGAACCTACTCGAAGTTAGTGAGCTGGAACAAAGTCTCGCTTGCAACGACAATCATGCGGCTGATCTCAAGGTATGCATTCGATGATCATAGTACGACTTTCCAGTGCAGATATCAGAAGCTGACCCCTGCCACAGAACATTCAAAAGCTCATCCAGTCTCCAAAGGTGACAAGCGACAGCAAGGTTGGCCTAGTTGCCCTTTATGCGCTACGATATGAGCGCAATCCGTCCAATGCACTTCCCATGCTCGAGGACCTCTTGGTGGCCGCTGGCGGGGTCTCAGTCCGGCGAGCAGATCTCATCTCCAAGCTAGTGAAGTATCAATCTTCATTGCAACAATCACAGGCTCAAGCAGGCATTGCGGACATTTTCGAGGGGGGTGGCATTTTTGGAGGAGCTGGTGCCAGGTTCAAGGGGCTAAAGGGCGTCGAGAACGTTTACACACAGCATAGCCCCTTGCTTGAAAGTACGCTCCAGAATCTGATCCGGGGACGACTTAAAGAGCAGCAGTATCCTTTCGTCGAGGGTGGAGGAACTACTCGAGACAAGCCGCAAGACGTTATTGTCTTTATAGTCGGTGGAACAACGTACGAGGAGGCCAAGATGGTGGCAACAATCAACGCATCTTCGCCAGGTGTGCGCTTAGTACTAGGAGGCACCACGGTCCACAACTCGGCTACGTTCCTGGAAGAGGTTGAGGATGCTGTATCTTCGTGGCCCGAGACGCAGAAACCTGGCACAAGGCGATAGACGGAAAGCAATCGATTTGGAACCTTAAGACCCCATTGACCATTGGCAATTTCCATGCCTGCATGTATTACTAGGCCTTTCCACAATCAACACACAAGGTAACCAGGCATCGATTTGTTTTGCATCAAGATGTTCTTCAAGTAGGCTAATTCAGTACGGAATGAATGTCTATTCTCTATTTACAGTTTGGCAGAATGCGGGAGGAGTGACCATAACCCCTTTTACGACACGTCCATGTTGCAAATGAAAAGACAAAGACGAATGAGGAGAAGGGCAAGAGTAAAAAATACCTGGTGATCATCAGTCTTCATGACTCATTATTGGAAGTCTTGGCTACGAGTCTCAAATCTGGTATTCTCTGCAGATATAAGTAATCTGCAGATATAAGTAATCAGCCATTAAACTTCCCAAGGTTGGATGAGAAAGTTAGTAATATCACTTCAGGCTGATATTATTGTCTATGGTTCATACGAGATGCGAAGTATCTCTAAGATTCTATTGAGAAGTCCATATTATTACAAAGATGCTCGTGGCGACGGTAGGATGTTGTCGACTGGAGAAGCTATACCTGAAGTAGCCCTGTAGTCGGTGCTTGTGATCGCCGTGCACCGATCATGTTACTGCACTGTGGCACCAAGGGGCCAAAAAAAATAATCAATGGGGGAGCAAAGGCGCCCAGTAACTCCGGATACAAACTTGGGCAACTCCAGCCTTGAAACTCGACTGTACCTCTGAGGGCACGAGGCTGCCAGTCGCGTTTTCTTCTGCTAGAGCGCGTGTAGTCTCTTAGCTCGTAAACATAGGCGATGCGATCCCTTTCAGCAGCCTTGAAGCTGCGCCCATGTCCTGCTGCCCGAAGCCTGCGACAGCTCGGTAGGCGCGGATTCGCAGACGTCGCAGAAGGCACCAGGTCAGTTAAGAATATACCGAGAATGAACACCTCTCGCGCGCCGATCGCAAACAACTAACCCATGTCCCAAGACCATTCGATGTTGTTGTAGTAGGAGGCGGCCATGCGGGCGCAGAAGCGTGCGCAGCAGCCGCCAGAACCGGCGCGCGGACAGCTCTGGTCACGCCAAAGATCCAGAACCTCGGCACCTGCTCCTGCAATCCATCTTTCGGTGGCATCGGTAAGGGAATCATACTTCGCGAAATCGATGCTCTGGACGGGTTGGCAGGCAGGGTCATCGACAAGGCCGGCGTGCAGTTCAGGGTCTTGAATCGAACCAAGGGGCCAGCCGTTTGGGTATGTGAGCCCTTTGTAGAGTTCCTTTCCTTGAAGTAATTTTTGTAGTCGCTAACTTGTTGTCTTCTGTAGGGACCACGAGCGCAAATTGATCGAAAATTATACCAGAAGCACATGAGAGAAGAGCTGGAAACGTACCCAAACCTGTCCATCGTGCTAGGCAGTGTATCCGATATCGTCACGAGCGAGAGCGCAGACACCACGAGTTCCGCCCAAAGCAAGATCACAGGTGTGCGCCTCGAGTCTGGCGAGGTCCTTCCTACACGCGCAGTCATCATCACGACAGGCACGTTCCTTAGCGCCGAAATTCATATTGGCATGCAAGCGTATCCCGCGGGACGGATAGGGGAAGATGCCTCTTTTGGCCTAAGCAAGTCGTTGAATGACAGTGGTTTTCGCCTAGGAAGGCTCAAGACAGGAACGCCGCCGCGTATCGCCAAAGACAGCATTGATTTTTCGCAGCTGGAGAGACAGCCCGGAGACGACCCGCCGCTGCCGTTTAGCTTCCTAAACGATAGGGTGGCCGTCGAGGAGCAGTTGTCCTGCTGGGTTACTTATACGAATGAGACGACGCATGACATCGTAAGGGCCAATCTGGATAAGACGATACACATCCGAGAAACCATCAGAGGACCGAGATATTGCCCCTCACTAGAGGCAAAAATCACCCGGTTCTCTGACAAAGACAAGCATCTTGTCTGGCTGGAGCCCGAAGGGTTCGACAGCGACCTCATATACCCCAATGGCCTGTCCATGACGGTACCGGAAGAGGCTCAGGAGCAGATTCTGCGCTCGATCCCAGGCCTGGAGAAGTGCGTCATGACACAAGTGGGCTACGGCGTCGAGTACGACTACATAGACCCTCGGAGCCTCAAGGCGACACTCGAAACGAAGCAGATTAGCGGCCTGTTCCTCGCCGGACAGATCAATGGCACCACGGGCTATGAAGAGGCGGCTGGGCAGGGCATTGTTGCCGGCATGAACGCCGGTCGCTCCGCTCTGGGCCTCGAAGCGGCCCCGATATCCCGAGCAGACGGCTACATCGGCATCATGATTGACGACCTTATTACCAAGGGCGTCACTGAACCGTATAGAATGTTCACGACACGAAGCGAGTACAGACTGACGTCGAGGGCGGATAACGCCGACCTTCGATTGACAGAAAAAGGACGGAACTGGGGCGTCGTGTCGAACAAGCGGTGGACACACTTTAATGATGAGAAGCAGCAGATGGAAGACATCATGTTACTCCTCTCTTCGACGAGCAAAAGCACACCTGAATGGTCCAAACGCGGCTTCCGCGTAAAAGAAGACACGACCCGGCGCAACGCAATGGACATGCTCCGACTAAAGGACGTGACCTGGGACCAAGTCGCTGCCGCGGTACCAGGCATTGACTCCATTTCGCAGCGCCTCAAGTCTCGCATTCACATCGAGGCGACGTACGCACCATTTATCAAGCGGCAGCTCGCTGAGCGCAAGGTGTTTGCCCGGGATGAGAGTCTGAGGCTGCCGGAATCGATCGACTATGACAAGGTTCCAGGACTGGCGATGGCTGAGAAAACGGTTCTAAAAGCCACCATGCCCGAGACTCTGGCGCAGGCGAGACGATTGGAAGGTATCACGCCCTCTGGGTGCCTCCGCCTGTTGGGCTATGTGCAACGCCAGCAGAAGAGTATTGCCCTAGCTAATATGGAGAGGCCGTGGCGGGAGAAGCAGCAGAGCCGGGAGAAGGACATGCCGTAACGCAATGACTGAATAGAATGCTTAGAAAAAAGGGCTTTCCGACTGATGTAAAGATGGAGAAGGCCAGAAAAGCGTAGCCTTAATGCTTGTACCAACACCATAACTGCCGACGGGGACCAAGCTTTCTTGCTCCCTTTGCGCGTGTACATCTAATTTTACAAAATTTTGCCCACCTTCCATAACGCCCCTTTTATACATGTTCTGTTACGTACACTGATGCGCCACACCTAATGGATGAACTGCAATTTTACTCCCACAAGGCTGCGGTGATGTTGCTTGATGATTTTGCCGTTGGATCTCAACAGTTGACAAGAATGAGCTTTGAATGACTGAGCAGTCTTGAAACCTCGGAGAGTTGGGAGAGTAAGTTGTCAGGGATGAAGGGTGAAAGCCTCCTCATACCATTTATACCTTTGGAGGTGGAGTCTTGGGAGGTGCAATAATCTTGACCGCATCCTTGGTGTAGATGTAGCTGGCGCCGCTCCAAATCGTGGTGGTGGCGACGACATATCTGGCCTCTAGTCAGCACAACAGAAGAGTCTACAAGAATACTGCGTTGTCTTCTCCAGGTTCGCGAAGAAGTCTAGCACCGGCAGGGGGGAGAGGGGTCAACGTACTGCATGACTGTCAAGGGCGTCGACAGGTCATAGCTGAACACCGGCGCAGCCGTCGTCAGGCCGATGAGGACAAGCTGAAGGAATGTGTTGTACTTGCTGATGGTCGTAGGGTGTACTTCGGCCGAGGGCAGGGAAAAGTCCCAGTACCGCGCAAAGGTCTTTGGAGGTGGGAGGGAGATCCAGCGGTAGTAGATGGCGGAGATGGCGAGGCCCACGTCGCGGCCGAGGATAATTGTTGCGAGCCATACTGTAAGGCGCATATGATCGTCAGTCTATACTGTTTTCCTTAATCTGGCGAGAGCGTCGGCGAGGCTTTCGAAGAACTCTTCACGTCACCCCTCCCCTCCCATCACCTTGTTCGATTCCCGGGAGCTTCTCCGTTGACAGACGAAGATGGAGGGGGCCAAAGTCAGCAAAGAAAAGGACCAACCTGGAAGAGACCCCTGAGCGGCGAGGCACACAGTGAGAATAGTCATCAACGCCTTATCTGCCATTGGATCAATCACAGTCCCGACAACAGTCTGCTGCTTCCACCGCCTGGCGATCCATCCGTCCAGCAAATCCGTCACGCCGGCGTACGCGAACAAGCCCAAGGCCCAGGCATGTTGGTCGTGGAGAATAAAGTAGCCCACAAACGGCGCGGCCACGAGGCGCGAGAGCGTCAGCAGGTTGGGGAGGGTGCGGATGTCTTCACGGAGGGTCGGTGGTAACGTGGGTAACTTCGCGACGAGCTTGCTTGCTGTGCTGCAGCAACCTCACTCGTCAGCCTATGCATTGTAGAGGAAGGACCTTGGCGGGGTGGAGAGAAGGAGACAAACCTGGGTGGTTTACCGTCGCTCTGCGATACGTAGGGAGCGACGAGACGTGGTCGCGATTGGCGCTGAGGTGGGTGGTTGAGAATGGCACTGGCAGTGAGCTTCAACGCCGGCCGATGTCGTGCTGGTGACGGCAACGCATGGAGAAGACGATTGCTCCTGCTGGGGCAGAAGCTGTTTTGCACGCGACCGCATTGCGCCAGAGACAAAGCCCTGCGACCACCGAGCCTGACAAACAGCATGTCTGTGTACTGGAGCCACGACGTAGACCGCAATTGAGCTTCACTTGGTTTTCGTACGATTGATTGGATGAGTGACGATCACGAGCTCACGTGCGGGTGGAAGACGACGGGAGCTACCCCCCCTTTGCTGAGCTCTTTCCTCAAAGCTTACGGAGTAAGGTACCTTGAGTACCTTACTAAAGTACTTAAGGAAATGTACCTTTTTGGTTCTCGTCGTTTGGTAAGCGTGGTTCACCATTGGCCCGTGTCACAACCATGTCACAAGTAGCATACCTCTGCCACTAGCATATTCTTCTTTGCCGCATAGTAGACTGACTTTTTCCAATTGTCCTTAAACAAGGTAGGTATGTTGAAGTGTAATGCAGCAAAGAGCTACTCTGTCTAAGTAATCACTCTCATCGAATGGAGCACTACCTACAGACCACGCATACCTACTACCTAGACAAACGATCACATCGCATGATGATTCGTTGCGTTGAGTACAACATGCGTGTCTGCAGACTGTCACTGCCTTACAGGTAAACTTTTCGGCAGTCCCAGGAAACCCCTTTTCCCTTGTTCAGTATACCTCACATACTCCTGGATCGTAGGTTGCGCTCAGCTTTGCGCACCTCTGTTTTCTTCCGAATCAAATAACTTCATCGCAAACCGCAACCTCGGCGCCGCGCTACTCAAGCACCTTGGCGCCTGAATTCAGAGTCTCCCTCTCTAACCTGAAGGATTTGATGACCCCGCAACATTTTCCACACTGTCGTTCAAGGGCAATCCTCTCTGGTGATCCGGACCCAACCAACGTTGGGTCCTGTTATATGTCCAACAGCTTCGTGTCAGACATGCACGGTAGCTGAGACGTGCACACGACTCTCATCCTACTTCTCTTCAGGTCCTACCAAGCGAGTTGTTGTTGTTGCTACTCGGCCAGCCTGCACTCCCTTGCGGCATGTATTGGCCTTGGTCGTCCTCGCCTATCTGGTCAAACGTGTTCCACGTATCGCGGTTGAGCCCTTCGATGGGGAAGCCCTGGGCGCTTCTGTCACCGCCCATTCCAGACTCGTTGTGCACGTGCCGGGGCGACGGCGAGGGGAAGGGCTCATGAGGAGACATGTCGTGAGGACGTTGTTGGGAATACAACATTGATGTCATGTAGTTGCCTCCGCCCATTGACCTTGACGGGTCGCTTGAAACAGCTGGCAAGCTGCTAGCAAGACCCATTTCGGGGCCCGTGACGGGCTCGTAAGCTGTCGAGTGTCGTCGAGGATGATGCTGTGACTCGAGTGCCATGTTTCGAGACATGTCGGGAGCCAAGCCAGCACTTGACGGATACCGGCCTGCACGGCTCAGGCTGTCATATGCGTAATTTGGGTGTTGGGGCTGCGCGTAGCCAACGTTGCTGACGGACCCGGGAACCGGATTCATATACGACATGTATGGCGGATGGCCAAACTGCGTCGCAGGCATTCCGCTCATGTGTAGCGAAGGTACCGACATCGCTCGTGACAGGCTCTGGTGGTGGCCGTTAACGGGATAGTGTTGCGCGAAAAGTCCGTGACCTCCTCGGGAGTCGTCCATCTCGACCTCGTCAATTGGGGCGCGGAAATTTTGCGACATGATCAACTCCCCTCTGGGAATGATGGTAGAGAGCTGGTGATCTTTGGAAGGGGTCATCAGCTTGCCTTCTGTGACATCTTCGACGTTGTAGTAGGACACCAGGTGGTGCGGCACGCCCTGGTAAGTCACGCTGATCGTCTTCTTCACCAGGCCGTTTTCCTTGAAGGGATACGAGTCGACTAGGGATCCAATCAATGCTCGCTCCGCGTCCTTGTTGCCGCCTTGCGAGCCATCCCCCATGCCCATAGTAGAGGCAGCTCCGTTGACGCTGCCTTGGCGCGCAACCTCGGGCTTCGTCACACCTGTGGGTTTCTTGTTACGCTTCATGGCGCGCTTCTTTTCGCCTGGTGGGAACGGCCGGTCGAGTTCGCGGTAGATGAGGAAGTTGCCGAGGATGCGACTGGGACTCCAAGCAACTCCGTCAGTCCAGCGCTTGATGCCGGACGAGTGCTCCTCGTAGATGAAGACATTGCCGCTCTTGATGAGATCCTGGCGTTCGCGGTCGTGTGGTCTGCGGGGAACATGGTGTAGTGCACTGCTCAGGCATGCTTCAAAGAGAACCAGAGCGTCGAGGGTGGAGGCGACGTGGCCGATGAAGGTTGGGTTTAATGGGACATTGGAATTCGCCATTTTGGCTTCCGGTTGCGCCGAGTCTAATCGTGTAAGTTACGTTGAACGTTTGCGGGAGAGATCGTAGAGTTGCGCCACTTACCGGCAGTATGTGTATGCGGTGGAAAGAAATATCGTAAAGAGTGTGAAAGGTTCAGTCCTCCCAGATGATGGTGATGATGATGGGGAGGAGAAGGGAAGCTAGGCCCGGCTGACTTGACTAGCGAAGGCTCGTGGGTGATGAAACCGCGCAGTTGAGCGTGATGGAACTAAGATGCGCGAGGATGGGAAGAGGAGGACGTAGACAAAAGAACCGCCGGTGGAAAGGGGAAGGAAGGAAGTCTTTCAACGGCGAGAAGAAGATTAAGACTTGTTAAAAGCTAAATTTCCAGAGCGTTTCTGCGAAGGAGAGAAGAGGGAGGGGAATATAATGGGCAGGGTAAGGTAAGGTAAAAGGTACTACACGGTACGTGTGTGGAGCTCTGAATCTGCAGCAGCAGACGCGGGACCGTGGTTCGCCCTGCGCTTATCGTAGTATCCAGGTCGCGAGACTGTATGTTTCCGAGCGCCTCCTTGTTCACCTCTTCGTCTTCTGGTTCAGCCACTGAGAATAGAAGTAGTGCTGGAAGACTCAAGGTAACTGACTGTCACCTGACGCGTGGAGCTTGTGGTGGTGGACACCGTATGGAAGAAGCTTGGGTGAGGGATAGCGTGACGGGCTCAACGCCTCTGATCGGAGAGGGTATACAGTTTTGGACTGGGCCAAGCAAGAGAAGGGAGCTTGAGGGCGGAATGTGTACGGCCAGCAGCAGGCAACGGGATAGATGTTCGTATATGTCTATGGCTTGTGGCTTGCGTGGGTCAGGAACCGGAGGTTGATGGTGAGATCCAGTGTTTTAAGGTTTGTCAAGCGCAGCACGGTTGGATATTTGCGGCGTGTTAGCTGCGCGGTCTAGGTTTCTCTCTGTCCTGTCGGGGGCGGCTTGCGGTGAACAGGTGGATATCCAGATTCCAGAACAATTACTGTGGTAGGTAGAGGTTCCGAGGAGATAGAGAGAAGGATAGAAAGAGAGAAAGAGGCCCGTCTCGTTGGGAAGAGAAGGAGTGATGAGAGTTTAAGATAGGTTGGGTGAGGAGCAGATAGCTGACGAGCTTCTTGTTGTAAGGGAATGAGCGTGGGTGGTGGTTGATGTACGCGGTGTGATATCGTTGTGCTGTGCTGTGCTTTGCTTTGCTTTGCTTTGCTGCAGTGGGTGGAACGGACCCTGAGATCTTAGATGTCGGGAAGGGAGTAGACAGAAGGGAGGGCCTCGGAGGTTTTTGATTTCTTGAACCGAGCGGTTGGGCCTCGAACTCCTGGTATCCTGAGCTTCGGATGCTAGGGATTGCAGCAAGAGGTAGATGAAGTAGTTTGCAGACTGGATGTCGCCGAGGACTTATATGAATGTCGGTGCCCGACGGTAAAACTGGTAATTGCGCGTGAAGATCGGGAGACTGGATGAAATATTATGTCCATGTACTCTTTTTTTTTGTTTTTTTGCAGTGCAATCAGGGGAGGAGTGAGAGAGCGCGCGCGCGCCCAGGGCAGCCGAGAACAAGATGGAGGTGCCTCGAGCTCAAAGAACCAGGATAGTACAGACAGGGCAGATCGGACCCAAGGCTCAAGGCGGGATGCCGACGTAGGGCCAGGCAAGGTGCCGCGGTCGAGGAGATCAGGAAGCTGTTTGAAGCCGAGCAAGGGTAGCAGATGAAGCTCTACCATGTACGTCGAGAGCCAAGAAAGACAAGGCGGACGGGGCAGAGGGCAGAGCGGCGGCGGCGGTAGCGGCAGCACAGGATGTATCCGTAGAGGAGGTGGAGGTGGAAGTGGAGGGGAGAAGGTCAAGGTCAAGCAGGGCCAGAGTAACGAGTGACGACGGGACGGACGAGATGGAAAGCGACAAGCATTTGCGCGAGACAGAGATAGATCAGTCGCATCAACAAGAG